TATTTTTGACAAGCGACTACTGGCTTCCATCAAGACGCGTACCTTGAACACTTGGCCTTCAGAATCGATAGTGGATGGTGCCGTGGAGCTCTCTACTTCGAGTTCTCTGCCGGTATCACCAAATGAAAGGTAACTGGATCCTTCTCGACGAAGAATAGATATGGAGTATTGATCAGCGAAATCATTTCCCAGAATGAAAGGAGTAGACATCCCATTTACCACGTATGCGTCAACATTAATCTTTACCGGTCCTTGCTTGGTAACAAAGAATAGATCGAGGTTCACATAACCGGAAATCGTTGACCTTCCTGTGACTTGTATCAGGTTAATTTTCTGACCAATACGGATTTTTGGGTGAGAGGATAGTTTCTGGAGAGTATCACGTGAAATTAACGTGATGTCAGATCCTGAGTCGATGATGACCTTTAGTACATCTTTATCAATGCCGTTAATTCCTGCGAGAGCGGAAGTGGCCTTACTTCCTAGAAATGTGCAGCCCGAAGGTCGAGGCATATGTTTCTTAAGTTCTACGAGTGAACCTCCAGCTGAAGACATAGGAGTTTGGTATGTAGTATGGAAAACTCTTTGAAACCTCTTCTGAACCCTTTCTAGACGCCGTTTTTCCTTTCTGGTCTGCAGATTCGGTCTATTACACCTAGTATATGGTGCACATGAAGTGTCGGATGCGACATTGAAGCTCTTGACAGTTGGTGTAGCTTCCTTCTCCTTGTAAATCTCCGAAGCTTGTTGATTAGCTCCCTCCAGGGCTGACGATCCGATGTTCCTACATTCGGCATCAGTAGTCTGAAGGGATTGTTCAAAATCCTGTTCAGCTTCAAGCGAATAGAACAAATCATCGTAGTCATCTTGTGCTTCAAGGTCCTCAGCAGCTATGGAGGCTAATCGAGTTCTGGCAGTTCTCATGCCCTCGTCTCAGTGCCTGCATTCGGAATCCCAATGTTCTAAGCTTCCACAAGTACGACACAGTCTGGCGCCCGCTTCACGAGGTGATTTCTTGCGCCTCGTAATGTTTGCATCATCCTTTGGGAATGGAGGAGGAGGGATTGCCTTTGAGGACCCGATGAGTCGTGTGTGTGATGAATGAGGAGGGTAATTTCGTCGTTCTTGTGCTAAACAGCTCTCATATGCATTCAGATTTCGACCTCGAAAGTTGGGGTCGAGCCTTAGTAACTGGTCCTCGTGGTATCTGATGCTCGACTGGAATTCAACAGCCGTTTGGTAGAGTTGAGTTGTGAGTACCGTGTTCCATGCGGCAGGTGCCCTGTTCATGACTTGAGCAATCAATTCTGAATCTAACAGATCGAAAGCTGTGTTGAGCATTTCCGACTTGCGAATGTAGTACTGGCTCGGAGTTTCTCGTGTAAAGCCCGGTTCTCGGTATGTGGCTGCACGAGCCTTGTCTTTCTGACGTTCCCACCAAGGACTATTCATGTAATAATCCGTAATGGCTTTACGGAGAAGGCCCCAATTTTGTTCAAGTTGAATATGATAAGGGAATGGCAAGGAATAGTACCATCTTTCCGCTTCTCCAGTGAGTCGTTTGGGGACCACTCGTCCTAGCTCGTCAAATACTGATTTGCTCCACAGGGATAGGTCATTTACTTTCAAAAGCCAGTTAACGATGGTATCACCGTTTCCATCCCAAGTCGGTACGTCACTCATTTTGAGCTTAGTGTCGAAATGGACTTCTGTTGTGGTGCTCGTAGAATGATTGGACTTATCATTTGGATTACGAGGTGGGATGGGTACGTTTGGTTGCTGTGATTTGGCCTCCTGCTCGTTGTGCTCTTGCTCTTCTCCCCCCCAGCCATCGTTGACTGGATTATCATCCTCAGGGGTCTTCGGAGTTTCAGGGTAGATGAAGGTAGGTGTTGGTTGTTGATACGAGCTAGCGCGAAGGTGGTCATGCCCGAATTGACTGAAACCATGTGAGCGATTAAGCATGGTGTTGGAAGGCAGTGAAGGCTGTCCTACAAGTTCTGCAGCTCGCCAAGAAGGAATCTCTCCAAAGGTGCGAAATGGTAACCCTTCAGGTTCTCCAGTTGCGGCACGTCGAATCGAGCCCCAATTGATACCATAGTTTTGCGGAGTTGGCGTTGTGCTGTTGTGCAGTGGAGTAGGCTGGCGAGGGTTATCCCGACGAGTTTCTGGATTCAGAGATGAGCGTGCGGTGTTTCTGGCTTGGTCGCGCTCAGCGATGAGGTTCTTGTCGAGTTGATGTTTTACTTCATGGTTTTTCCAATCATAACAGTCGTCGAGCACCCATAGGAACTCTTCAATGGCTATTCAAAATTGAAGCGCATATAACTCAAAATCATTTGCATTGAAAGCTGTGGAAATATCCGAGAGCCAGGATGGAATTGGTAGAGTAAGGTATCCGTATTCTCGAATGGCCTCAGCTGCTATATGCCTTCTAGTCGCCATTTTCCCTCGAAAGGCACGGTAGGCTTCGGGATCGAGCAAATATACTGCCTCGCCATTGTTGTGAGGGGTTGCGACTGCAAGAACATTAGTCAGGAGTGAGTTAAGGGCCCTGATGTCCTCATGGAAAGTGAAGAATGCTTGACCGTAGTTGAGCGCACGGGCTTTCCTGATGGTGGTTCCTATTTCCGGAATGTCGTTGAGTATTTCAATGCCTCTATCCTTCCATTCTCGTGCCTGTGAATGACGAGCGAGGGTGTATAACGGCACTGAGGTAGGCCATTTCTTCTCGGTTTTTACAAGAACGTTTGCATCGTACAAGTCGGTGTGGAAGGGTGTCGAGATGTCTGTGAGTTCGTCCGCAAAGCCAGGGAAAGGTGGCTTAACTTCAGTCTCAGGTGGAATAGGAGAGGTGGGATCCGTGGAGGCCATGTTAAGGTGATTAATGCGAAGTAGATTCTCAATGAACCGGGAGAATGCTGAATCAATTTTGCAGTCGTCGTCAGCTTCCTTTACAAGGTGGTCCCAATGTGTCCACCAATGTTATGATCAAGCTAGTTAGTACATCGCGTAGATAACAGTAGTGATTTGTAACTGGCTTTGAGATCAAAATATATGGGTTTTCCACCAAAAGGAATCCGAATAGTCGAAGAAAAGCGTTCAGCATATTCTTCTAGGGCTCAGCAAGCGTTTAGCGTAACTGAATAAGTAGGAATAGACAAGCGTTCAGCGTAGTCTTCCCAAACTTAGGTTCACTCAAGTGAGGATAATTCGGAATGAAAATTGGATTGAATTCTTGTAGCTACTCAATGCCTTGTATATAGGCTATATTTTCGTTATCTAGAGTATTCTAGAGAGATAAAGACTACACAAGAAAGAGAGAGAAACGTGTAGAAGATATATTACTGCGAGAACATTCTTGATGGACGAGCAGGCCGATGGCCGAGAAAGGAGGTATGGACTCTAAGTATAGATATCCATAACAATGCCCCAAAAAGTGATCTCTGACCGAGGACCTCAGTTCGTATCCAAATTCATGAAGGAACTATACGAGATGTTGCAGATACAAGGAAATCCGTCCACGGCTTACCACCCCCAAACTGATGGACAGACAGAACAAGCGAACCAGGAGATTGAAAAATACCTCCGAATATTTATCAATCACAGACAGAACGATTGGAGCGAGTGGTTGCCTCTCACAGCCTTCCAGCACAATAACCGGAAACATTCCGCAACCGGGTATTCTCCCTTTGAAATCAATCATGGACAAAAGCCACATTTAGCCCCAATAGCAATCAAAGAAGGAACAAATCCAGCTGCCAGGGAATTCGTAGCAGACATACAAAAGGTACATGAACAAACGGCAAGGGCACTGGAAAGAGCAGCGGAAGTCATGAAGCGACAATATGACAAACATCAGCGAACGGCGATAGAGTACCAACCGGGAGACAAAGTCTGGTTGGACTCCACGAACCTACACCTTCCTCGACCAATGAAGAAGTTAGGAGACAAGCACGTCAGACCGTTTGAAGTGATATCCAAACATGGCGCCTCCGCATACAAATTGCGCCTTCCTCCCGCGTGGAAAATCCATGACCGCTTCAATGAAAATCTCCTCACTCCGTATCATCCACCGGAGTTCCCAATCCAAGTACAGCCCACAGCTCCACTGCTGGATCTTATAGACGGACAAGAACAGTACGAAGTAGAAGAAATAGTAGACCGAAGGGAAAGAGCCCGAGGGAGAGGAAGAAGACGAAGCACCGGAATCAAATACCTCGTAAAATGGAAAGGATATCCGAGAGAGGAAAACTCCTGGGTAGATGAGCAAGACTTGGACAACGCCAGGAATGCCATCGAAGACTTCGAACAAGTCTCGTTCATTACTCGTCCACCTGCAGACTGGTGGGAGGAAAGCGACGAATCCGACTCCTGGTCAGAAACAGAGTCGATAACCGAATCCAAAGTCGACCACCCCTTGGTACAGGCAATACAAGAATGCCTGGTAAAACCAAACGCACCCTCGCTTGTAGAAGCTTACCTCCCAAAACCAAACTACGTTGCAGTCAGGACGACTGCCTTAACAGGGGGGTAATATTACGATTTCACGCTTTATCTTATCTTATCGGCTCTCTTGTAATCTCGCTATGCCAATTCTCCAGACTTGATCGCATTCTATCATGAGGGTTCAGTACGTTTACCGCACCGTTGCAGACACTTGTAGTATATTTAGCACGACCCAAACTGTATTTAAGTAGCTCGACTGCAGGTCATAAACCTCAGTCTCGAACTAAAGTTTATTCACCCGATAACTTAGTCTGAACTCACTCTCGCTCCACTAAGCGATAGCTCCCTGCACGCAAACCTGCGAGCAACACAAAGCGCCTGACCGAAGTGCGAGTCACGCTTAGTTGTTTGATCTTGTTTGTGTAATCGGTCGCTAACAACAATACCACTATCATTACAATAATTCGGTCGTCTCCTTCGACCCAGTGTCTCGAAGTCTTGTATTCTTTGTCTAGTAAGTTTTTATTTCCTGTTTCTCTTGTATTGCACTCATGTGTTATTGTAATTATAGCCCAGGATATCAGGATGCAAACGGGGTCTGGAGGCCTGTTCACGCAAATGGATTGGCTGCATTGCATGTAAGTGCTTCTCATTTTATGAAAAATATACATACAGACTTATTTTCATGGGGCTAGGCGTCCTCGACCTTTGTTTACCCCTTTTGCTGGTGCCCACAGGCTTTTGCTGGCGAGTATCATGAGACCATCCTTTTTACAATGGGCCCAGCTGCAAACGCCGACCACAGAAACCCTGGCAAGCTTGCTCTACGCTGCAGCACTGCTCACCCTGGCCTAGGCATATTTGGATGCAAATTCTTTGGTGAGCTTCCATCTTTATTGATTTTGAACTTCAAACACTGAGGCTGCATGTTTGGCAGTTCCCCTTGAGGAGCTTACTAGCAATGGTGCTCTCGGAAATACCCTTGCCACGTTCAGCGCCACCACCGTGGCAACACGTACGTTTTATCCTTTTCTTTGTCCGACTCGATGCTGACATTATTTTCCATTCAGAGCCCATCACTGTCACTCCTACTATTGCTTCCAACCAAAACAGCCCCTCTCCTGTCTTGTCATCATCCAGCTCAAGCTTGCTGCACGTGTTGGATGTGGTTGTATGGTCTTTGGGCACTTCTAAGCATAAGCTTGAGCTCAAATCCAATGGTGAGTTCTTCATTCTCACAATAATTATTTGTCTCATCAACTATTAACCAGATGGATCACTGAAAAAGCGTCGCTCGCAGGTGCAGCCTTCGGCATCAAGTGACATTGGAGATTTCTCCCCTCCTCACTGGGGAGTTCTGTCATCAAAAAAAGCTGTTGGTGAGTTTCATTATCTTCCTACCTTAATCACAGACTGACCACCGACGCAATAGCTCAGGATGTCATGTTCAAGGAGTCGTTTCTCCGCAAAAGTACGTCGTTTTTCCCTTTTTTTATCCTTTAGCTCATGAATACATCTCAGTATCCTTACGTGGCACGTCGACCATGGAAGAGTTCTTCCAGGGCGCCTCAGCACTCCCAACTGAAACCCTTCGAGCTCTTGAAGGTTGCTACAAGTCGGGAGAAGGTATCACACTCTCGGAGTACAGGCAAACCACTGTACACTGCCTCGAGTGCGGCAAACTCTTCAGCAAACTCACCCATGGTCAGCATGTTTGTTTTACGGTCCAGAAACCAATTACGTGCTGCAAGACTGCGAAGGAGGTGGCTGTCAAAAGCGAGAAGGGAAAAGGCAAGGACAGAGTTGCTTATATTCCTGATATTTTTACAAGCACTCCGTTAACTACAGAAACCATTGAAATCTTGGATTCCGATTAGTTACATGCAACGTAGTAGTACCTATTCTGAAATAATACATCCTCTCTAACCCATGCACCTTCTTAAGAGAACGATTATAGCATTAAGACAAAAACAATGACAGATTAAACAATGGCTGACCGACATCTTTAACAACAAACTGCACGCGAACAGAGTACGTTCAGTATGACACTATGATGCGCCATGAAACTAGGAACCCGTTGTTCTTTCTGCCATCGCCATACGTGCTCTCAGGATCCTGTCATCTATTTTTAACAGGCTTATCCGTGCTAGATACTTAAGAATGTTCCAACTCGCCTGGGTTCGGACACTCATGTCGTCTTATTCCCTCTACACCAATTCACCCTATGAGTATGAGATACCCTCTTACCGGTCTTCCTCACTCACCTCATCTTTGACAGACCTCTCCTAGATGTGCTCCCAGTGATTGGACTGTACCGTTATGCTGTTCAGTACGATTACAGCCCAGAGCAGGAAGTTTGGTTGGCTGATCAAGGCCCTTCCTTCGAGAGAGCCATTCAGAACAACCGCGTTCTGCTGTGCTTGGAGCGTATTTACTCCAGGTGGTTCGATAGATGGCCTAGCAAATCTGAGGGCATCGACCCAACTCACATCAACTTAAACGAGAAACAACGGAAAATTGTGTGTAATTCTTAAATCCCAACCAAGTACCTCTACTCATGGCGGTTTGTTCAGGAGATTTTTGCTTTGTACATCATGGGTCTTAAACATCGATGGCTCGATGTGGGTACGCCTCCTGACAGATGGACAAATGTGATGGTGTACATGAAGCTAGATCACCTGGAAGAAATGCTCCAAGAATATTGGGGGATTCAACGCGTCTTTGTGCGGATTGTAGGAGCTGCCAACGGCAACCGATAGGGCAAATCTAATAGAAAATTTTCTATTTCGAAGGACACTAACACAGAACATACTCAAGTGAACATCAACATCGCATTCATCAGCTGGTTCACTATGTGTCCTGAACACGATGCGAGACCTTGATGTGATACAAGCTCTCAGAATTTTGAGTGACCGAAGTCTGAACGCCTACCATAGGAACACAGCCTGAAAACAGTAACTTTATATCATGAGTATTAGCTTCGTCTTAAAGTTAGTTGGGCAATTCGGTCCAATTGCAGGTACCGAATATTCTCAGCATTAAATTTGAATATCATTGGTTGCTGCCTCTTCGTTTGGGACACAGATCGTATTCGGTCCATTGTTCCAGAGAGTATAACTCTAATCCTAATGCTAGGTGTTAAAGTAATTCACTGGTTGTGAGATCGGTTAATGGGACCTAAACCAAGCAGAGCACGTTAACACCACACTGGAACTGATGGTTTGGAAAATATGCCATTATAATAGCCATAATTCTAATCCTAAATGCGACAACATTTTAGCTATTAGGCATCTGGGATGTTATTTCCTCAGGAAAAGAAGAATTCATTTTGTGGTAAATAGAGAGACAATCTGGTAAGAGCCATGGGCCGTGATCTTCGTACCAGAAGTCTACCTTCCCTGCCTCTACCTTGACTTATATCCCATCCACATCCTGTCAAGCAACAGTCTCTTCTTGTGATGCCTCCCTCAAGGTCTGTTTCGAAGTCAAGCGACTGTTTCATGCCTCCACCATCTCCCGACGCTGCTCTTGCTTTTGATAAATGCTATTATGATGCCCAGAGGTCTCTCGATTTCATTAAGAATCGAGCCATCCAACATTTAGTCACCATCATGGGTGCTATGATGAATGTCTGGAACTAGTAAGTACCTAATTCGTTCCAAGGTGTTCTTCTAAACACACGTTCCGAACAGTCCTGCCTGGAGACAGGAGAACGGAGTGCTCGTCCCTGTCAGTGTTGAGAACCTCAGGCATTATATGCTGGAGTGGGACGTCACTGTGCCCAACTGCCTCTGTCCTTTGAAAGATCCTTCCTCCGCACTTGTTCAGATGATTCTATGTCAGGGCGATGATGGAAAATGGCGCTTCCACTGCACATCAGACTATTGTGGATACGAAGGTACGACTCCGCCATCCTGGTATTGCTCTGGTTCTCAAGAAGGTCGTAGTCAATCTCTCAAAGGTGTTTGGTCCTGGTCTTCCTCAAACGGCCCTCCAAAACTATGCTGGTAAGTTACCAGGCCATCAGCATTGAATACTTTTGACATAGGGTACAGTTGGTAGTCAAGACATTGAGAACATGAACTACAGAAGTAAGTCATCACCATGTGTTACCAGAACAAATCACCCTTACTCACATGAATAATTACAGAGTATGAAAAGCGCTGGGAGGAATTCCACGGGAAAGCCTGGAACCAGAACATGCTGAAGAGGCTGGCTGTGGGCACCTGTGGAATAGTGAGCGGGCTAAAAGGCAAACCTCCAAAAACCCACACACACACTCACACAACTACACAAACTACAATCACCCTTGTAAGTTCTAGGGGGAGTGATTATTTCTAATGCGATCCAACTATACTTCAATATCTCGAAGAGTTTCTCTTATTCTCAGTGCTCTTAGCGAAGCTAAGCTTTCTCTAATGACTTCCTAAGTCTAGGAACTTTTTACAGGAAGGTTGTTCACTGGCGCAATGCAACCTTCAAGGCAGATTTGAGTTATAATACACAAGGGACACTGATCCCAACAGAAACAGAGGCAATACACGCCGGAACTTTAGTGAGCTTGCTAAAAGAACACCACAGGCAAGCACTGACTTAGCCCGCTCGCTACACAACTGTATGTAGGGGTTCTCCAACTAACTCCAGCAGGTTATCTCGACTCAAGAACACTTCAGAAGTGCTTGGAAAACAGATTCAGAAACGGAACTTCGAACAGAACAGACATGGAACAGACTGAAACAGAACAGAACAGAACAGAACAGAACAGATCTCAGATTTCCACTTCAACACATTCTCCGAACAGACTTATCACACTTAACAGAACAGAAACAGCATCACTGATTTGTATTCACTCTGACTAAGTTCTCAAAAGTCTTATCAAAAGGGTATCTCGTATTTCTCTGAGTGAGCTCGCTAATTCTATGCACAGCTCGAAGTCACAAACTGATCCTTTGTTACAGTACCGCCTTCAACGCGTGCACGGGAACTTGGGGGCTCGAAACTTGGCCTCTACCTACTGTAACCAGCCTACTTATACTACAGGGGAATTAGAATTACAAATGTCATGCAGTACCCAGACTCCTACATGCGTAGCACGTTGCCACCACCACCTTACTGAGCATCCGAGTCGGACTTCCCAGTTTTAGTCTCATTTCTATAGTGAGCTTGCTAAACGTGTGCCAAGAGGTGCTCTCCCGACACCCGCAGGCTTGTTCTCTAGCGACCGACAGGTCTAGGCGCATGGAACTATCAGTTCTGGCATATGTCATTCAGGACTTCTTTTCTTGGATTCACAGAGGCTTCTCGTAGACATGGCAACAAGTGAGTCTTCGAACAATGGGACTCAGAACAATGGAACGCGGGCTCGCAGACTTCGGCCGAAGCCCATTGCCCAAGCTTGTGCTGGTGATATCTGTCAGCTCACTTAAGGATTTCCCCGGATTTTCAGGTACAGCGCATCACAGTTAGCAAGCGCGCTAAGTGTTCTCAGTGTCAGTGCAATCTTCAAGGTTTTATCTAGCTCCCGCGAGTGTGCTTGTAAGTTAGAGCCTAAGGCATTGGGTATATGGTTTGGCCTTCTCATCACACATGCTCGTCAGGTACAGTGCTGTGACTAAGTCCTGTTTAGAATCCCATTGCTTCTTATGCCATAAGTTATATTCCATATCATTGCACTGCATAGCATTAGTGTCGACGCATAGTTTTAGTCCGCTCGCTCACTATCTCTCAGTATGTGTGTAAAACACTCTAGATTGCAAAATTACATGCGTAAATAGGCTGCAGTCGCAACAACGTGCAGCCTTTCTGACATCGACGAAGGTCTGGAATATGCGTCCGACGACCCCAACCGCTGGTATTCTAGCAGAGTTCCTGATTCAGAAGAGAAGCCCAAGGAGAATAACACACAAACCGACAATGTCCGTGATGTAACCTCGCAAACGACCAAAGTACCAAGTTTGTTTGATGCTCTAGCTTGACTGTTTCGGTACTCATATTTTATATAGCCCTGGATTTGGCGGATGTGGAGAAAAAAAGGGCGGCGAGACGACAGCCTGTCAATCATGCTTACAAAAAGCTGCGGCGCCAATGGGATAACAAAGATAAGGAGCCAGTTTCCGCAGGACAAGAGAAAGAGGTACCAGGTAGGATCGTCAAGGCTGTACCAGCACCGGCGCCAGCACCTCCAGCCCCAGAGAACGAGGTTCAAGTCAAAGCCTCGACGATCGCTCCCGCTACTCAAGGTCCCATGCGCCAAGAGGTAGGCATCCAGACAGCAGCAGTCATAAGTACCCATGAGTGTTATCAGTTCCCTCCTACTCCTCATCCAGTTGGGATTGACAAGGACAGATCAGGTGCACCATCTCTTATCCAACAGACCACTCCAGTAGGGTGGAAAGTCGTTCTCTGGAATCGCTTATCTTTGGATCATTGTGGGGTAACAGGGGAGGAGCTTTCTATGCTTGTCGTGAGTTGCTTGGGCTGTACTAGATATTACCATGATGGGTTTCCTCACCATTGCCCTTAAACGGTCAGAATATTTACTTGTCATTACTGTCTCTCGTTGGTCAGATTGCCAATGATAAAAAATAGTACAATTGATAGAATACAAGATGGTATAAATACATCAATAGTCCCGAGCAGGCTGTCATAGCTGTTTTTTCACCTTGGAATTCAGTCGCTTGGAATCCTTGGTCTCTGCTGCAAGGGTCATCATGGAGCTATGCAAGACGAACCTATCATCTGTTATTTCATCCTCAAGGAAGGGAGCTCGCGGTATCACCACAGCTACAGTCCAATCCAAATCCATGCTATCACTGGATGACTGCTTCATGAATTGAATGCTCCTGACATATTTCCCACAATGCTCGCCTGATATCATGAAAAACATGTCATAATGTTGTGCCTTTGGATGAATCGGCAGGACTCTGGAGGGATCGAGGACTTCTTTCAGTAGCGTATCATCCCTGATGCAAACGATCTTTCCATCATTGTTACGCTTTACCAAGGCTACAATTTGGCGGCCATTGTATTGCACACGGAACTTTGCGCCAAGGATCTCTGGATTGAGGCACCAGTGAATGGAATCCGGGGACGATGGATCCCATGCTGGAGAGAGGCATCGTTCAGAGGGATTGGGCCTAGGAGTAGTGTTTCCGGATTCTTCTACCACAACGGGTGGCAGAGGAATACACCTCCCCTTCTCCTGCAAGATGTTAGTATAAGGAACCTGCCCACGAAAGAAACTGTGGGCATCTGATAATGGTTGCACCTCATTGAGAGGCAGCCATGAGTCGGCCTCGATTATATCGAGGTAGGGGAACCAGCAACACAGGAAAGGAGCATTCGCATCATAGTGATCCACCTGAACCAACACCTGTAAGATTGGCTGGGGGTTACATGACGGATCTGTCATAATGTTGACATCTTTCACATCCCCGGTCTTTCCATGCCAGGGATGGCCTTGTTGAGTTACCAAAACTCTCGTCCCTATCCATGGCGCAACAGGTGTCGATGTGGGAATCAAAGATTCGGTGGACGGGGCAGAGATCTTTGTGCTGGGTGGACTGTCTGCGATGACGATGTTTGGGTGTACGCTGTGCACCTACAAATGCTATCAGTTTTGAGTAGGCAAGTGCACAATATACGATGTACCTCGATTTGGTGACTATTGGGGCCAGCGGGGGATATCAACTGTAAAAACCTCCCCTCGAATGCGTGTACCCATCCAGACCATCTATCTGCAGGTAGACCCTCCGTGATCTGGATGTACTGTCCCACCATGAACTCTTTGCAAACATCAGTCCATCGGACTGGAAATATTCCTTCTGAAAATTGAACATCCAACCCCTCATCGCTGACAGTATGGATCAATCCAGATCGGCCTGTCCCTACTTGGATAACCTTTTCTCCAACCTGAAAGCACCATTCGGAGACTTTTGGATGATCTCGTAGGTGCCTATGGACTTGAGGATGTCGGGACTGACCAAAAAGCACGACTGTTTGGTTGCCGATCTCGTGAGCATTTTCAATCTGAGAGAAAGAGAGGTGGCGAGCGAGAAGGTCATGCTCATACACCAAGCCCTGAAAGCGATAATGAGACTCTCCAATTATTGATGCATTGAAAGCTGCATGGTCGAAGAGTTTGGGGGCAAAATCCGAACTTTGAAGCCGTCATCGTTTGTTCTTCGATTTTTCTTGAGCGCTGGGATCCAGTTTCGGTACCAACAACACCTTACAACCCCAAGGATACACCTTAGCCACCATCCCCACCTCGCCTTTGAACCGGCCATGATGAACTTTGACCCATGCTCCATTCACCATGGGGTGCGACGATGAGCCAGAGTATAGTGCACATGCACTTGTGTTCAGAGGAACGGCGTGGAGTTGAACCTGCTGATTTTGCAGTGCCACACCTGGGATGTCAACGAGCCACGTCTTGAGTGCCGATGTCATTTCTGCCTCAAGCCAGACTTGTTTCTCGAGGCGAGGCATAATAAAGGCGGCATTGATACCATGCTCCGGTCGCGCATTTCGGCCAATGTGAAAAACCACAATGTCCTCCCAACCAGGCTTCAAAAAAACATCAGGAATAAATGCATATAGAGACAACACATGACTCACAAAGCAAGATAGAACCCAGAGTTCGGGTGCAACATCCAAAAGACACCAATCGTAGCTTCCCTCACCGACTAGCAAGCATTCCCTCACATTTGAACGTGCCTTTGCTCTCTTTAGCAAGCCTTCCCATGCTTGATCTTCCTCTTGTCTAGAAGGAATAGGAATGCATGCAGACAGATTGATGGGTCCCGAGTCCGCTGTTTCGTCCGAGGATTCTTCATCGATAATGAAGCTTTCCTCGCTCTCAGATGGGGATTCGACATCTGAGTCAGTATCTACACCAGCCTCGAGGTCTAGAAAGATAGACTGCTATGACAGTTAGAACATGAAGCACTCATTGTATAGAAAACATACCATCAATGTAACAATGACAGTGGCGTCGTCTTTCGTTTTTCACGTGTCACCACTGTAGTTTCACGTCAGTTCATTCCGGGGCAAGATAATCATTCATAACATTCAAAACATAATATATTTCACATGTATACTACTAGCTACAAGGAATATCTATTGCTTACCGCAGTTACTGTTGCACGTGTAGTAATAGAAGGAAAACAAAGAGGGAAAGCTTACATAAGAGCTTGGATTTGTTTGATAGCGGCATGTTTGAAGGACCACCAGGGACTTCCGCGGGTGCTTACTGGGCGTCTAGACCTCGGACTTTCCCAGGCGCTTACTGGGCGTTTAGAACTCAGACGTCTCTGGCGGCCCTTCAAACATGCCGCTATCAAATAAATCCAAGCTCTTATGTAAGCTTTCCCTCCTTGACTTGTTACAATATGCTACCGTAGAATATCAAATTACTTGAATACATTTAGTAGGGTACACTAGCGAACCCAGTATATCGCAAATTCGGCTGATGTGGAGCGCATCAAGAGTAAAAATCATTCGAGAAACTTAGAAAAACTATGAACACGTCTATCAGTATCATTCATGCATGTTGGGGCATGCCCCACAACGACGGATCATATGAACAGGACAGAAGTACGTTCCAAAACTTATTCCTTCTAAGTATAACTGACTTTCAGGACTTTCAGATTCATAAAGACTGGCGATTATCTTTGGCAACTACCCATGCAAGATTATATTTACTCATCCTGAGCTCTGACCATGCATTTTCTTTTTCATGTCTAGGCTCTTTTGCTTCTGTTTCTCATAGGTGACCTTCTGTTTTTCGTGTGACTCGATGGCTTTGAGGTCAGTTGGTTTCGCCGCTAACTTACAGACCGTGTTTTGATACCTTTCCCAAGACTTACGCAGTCGCTCGTTCTGCTCATTGATATGCTTGTCAGCCATATTGAACTTGCGCGTCTGCTGAATAACTACATTGGCGGACGAGTTCATCCACACCTGCATGCAGAGGAAATGAAGTCTTACCTGTGCGTTTATATTTTCGGATGACCGAAACGACGGTCGTAGTAGGCCTGTAGACGGCCTTCACTCCAGTCTTTTGCATGACCTGCTAAAAGAAATGTCAGTGATGAGCAAGCGCATGAATGATGAATAGGTACGCGGTGGGTCTGAAGGCACATCTTATCATAGTATCGAGCACCAGAGATGCCGCCAACGAGGGAACACGGCATGCCTTCCCGATAGATATCTATGTGGGACATTTTGACTGCGTTTGTCATGGCATCGCCTGCTTGCCAAATACTCAATGGTATGAAGCTCCTTTCCCAACACATTCCTTGCAGAGCAAATTTCGAGTGTATCTTATTGTAAATCCAATCTATGCACGAAACCAATTGTTAGAACGGCGACAGAGGATTTGTTGAGGACGTCCACTTACTATGATTGGATACCCCACCCTCTCTTTCTATGTAGGCTATGGTTTCATCCCAATTTGGATGTCGAATACATACCAGACTATGCATTTTGTCTTTAACTGAATAGTCTTGTATGCCGGAACTCGTGATTCCACGAGTGAGATGCGCTGTACATACACGATACAACTGGTGGATATGTTCATAAGGTCCTAAGCTGGAAACAGAGCGGCCCATTTCATGCAAGTCCTTGCAGTTGTGTGCTAACTCTTGGGCAATGTCCTGAAGATGGAAGCCTAAGCCTGGCATAATAATGTGAACTTCTCTTTAAAATAGTAGGCAGTCTGTCGTACCTTTTGCCTGTCCTCAATCTTGGTCAGTGGCCCAGTGCAATATTCCTTGATGATCATTGAGGGAAGGCAAATGCAGGTGTCGATACTTGATGTCCCTTTGGGTGTCTTGGTGCACCACTGACCTAATGGTCGCGAACAACACTTGATGAGCACACGCGGACTGTGAGTTCATGAAAGCTCTGCAGATAACCACCACTGCCAATTGGAACGATTAGCCTGAGTCACAGAAAGATGGAGGCTGACTTACCTTGATTCGTCTCATGGTCCACACTGACCAACTCAAATTCCTTCCAGCCCGGAACATGCTTGAAAGAAATGTCGCTTTGGACGTACTTTGCCTTCAGAAGGTCTTCACTGCATTGCAGCAGCATGCATATGATCAACTTGAAACAGTCGTCGTCTAAACCTTCGAGAGGGCCATCCTCATCTTCACTATCATCAATGTGGTCTCTGCCATCTTTGAGTCTTTGCCAAGATATTTCCTTCATTTCACGTATGTAGGGTGTGCTCCCTTCCTCGTCTTGTTTGGATTTCATATGCTGAACACCTGTCGAACCCACCTCTGTAAAGTAACTGATATTAATGAACTTGGAACTCGTACCATCCCATCCGGTCCCATTGGGGAGACAGGCCTTGATTTCTGTGTGAATGTACGATACTATGTGGTCCAAGTTGGCCAAGAATGGGTGGACATGAGTGAGCGTCGGCTCCTCTTCATCTGGACAGAGTTGTTTTACGTGGTTAACGACTGCAGGGTGTCAGCAAAACCATCGAGGGGTCATATCCGCCAGCTCGTGTTCGAGGCTACGTATCAATAGTTTGAGTTTGGATTTAATATGAACAGGCATCATCGTTGGAAGGGGAATAGGATGTGTATGAGGACTGTGGCAAAGAAGAAGTATCTTGGGGCATGCCTCCCAGTAACTGTCCTCCGGTTGAATGACAGTGAATCTGGCTGAGCATGGCTGATGCACCATTTCTGTCATGAGCATGGTCTCTTTACCTGATTTTCTGTGCCCATTCTCTATTAAATTTGAGATTTATGGGCGTGGTGTAAGGGAAATATAATTGACTTACCACAATTCACCTTTTGGGAGCTAAAATTGTGGACTGTAGTGCAAGGAGCTAACAGCCCATAGCCATTCTTGTAAGCTCCCAGTTCAATTGTCTTGATTGTCAGCTCATCGTTCCTAACCAATGCGCACAAATACTCGAAGTTGAATCCTCCTCCTCGATCGGGATACAGGATGAAGTGTTTGTGCGAAGTGCACGAATAATGTTCGCAGCTATCACACTATTAGTTTGCTTTCTCTCAGAGTGGCAGTATAGGATGGCTGACATACCAAATGTATTGCTTTTCTTGCATTTGTCTAATGACAATTCGACCTTGGCACGTTTGCTTGCTCTTCTGACCATGCTTTGCTTTGGTAGGCATCTGTTGAATCTCGGTTTTGATGGACTGTTCCTTTTCGGTATAAAGAGTGGCTTCTTGTAAATTGTAACTGCAGCTGTTATCTGTGATGAACCTGAACTAAGCTATGGTCTTATTGAGGATCTCTTCTTTGGGCATAAAGTCAGGCTTGTCCCTATGAGCCTGATCAAGCTGTAATTGAAGGGCTGCTCTCGAGGCTTGCATATGCGAAATCTCCTTGATATGAGAGCTCACAAACAGACACACATGAATGCCTCGACCTGATCGTGTCTATGAGTATAAGCCGCTGATTTCACTATGGATGTGGACTTACAAGTGCTGTAATCAACTAAACACAGAACCGGTTGGCCGTCTTGGTCCAACAGAATCTTAGTGAAATGACCTTTGGATTGTCCTGAAGGTTTCCCTGCAGAATATGCGAAGTTACAAGCTGGATTATATGATTTATCGGTCAATTCCATATGGAGTATATACGCAATGGAAGTCTGTGAGTCGGGTGTCGTCTCGGGATATTCAATGATTTCCTTAGACTTGAGGTGGTACATGGTGGATGCCAAAGTTCTCTGGTTTATGCGGACATTGTGCTCTATTTTGAACGGCGTGACATCAGATGAAAATGATTTAGGCATGTGGGACCCTGTACTTGGGGTTGACGGTTTTGAGTCAACCAGATTGAGGAGCTCAGAGATGGATAGAACAGGCATGGTAGAGTGTGGAGATGATACTCAGACAGCATGATACTGAGTATGGAGTGATTCTATTATTGGGAGGCAACAAACTGTAAAATGGTACCAAAGTCCAACTTCGAAGTGACAAGAACAGCTCGAAATTATGCAGTATTTCTGGTTTTACGTAGGGAGCGATTGAGGTGGGAGGCGAGGCTTTTTGGGGAGAGTACGGGAGAATTCTCCAGCCATCGATCACAAGTCGGCGAGCCAAACTGGTGAGCTTATTTCAGTTTTTGTTCCAGTCGGCGTTATTAGGTCCCTGAGGAGTGCCACAAGCATGTAACCAAGGTTCATTCCATGAAAACCCAAATTAAATTGAAGTACCTTTATTAGCCTATTTCGTATCTGGGAATAAATCACTTGGCGACATTGCCGCGAGTTGAATTCCGGATACTTGAATCCGAGGAAGCTTTGCCTCATCTTATTCTGGTTACATTTGATATTTTTACAGATGTTTCCGACAATTCAAAAGAGTATAGGACAAAAATACTGATATTGCAGACATTGAGGGCGACATGTACGGTGCTACGCAGCCAACAAACAATACAGGAGTGAGGGGAAATGATCGAAAGGAAAATAAGCAAAGAGAAAAGACGCCACAATTTTGAAACAGTACTAGCCATAAAGGGGTGTTGTAACACCATAGCACAAGGAGGATGCTTGTGCACATCTGTGTCGCCGTTGTCACCGTCGGTTGTCACCTGTGTGTGTCAAAGGGTGAAGGATGAAAGGAGGGGGGACCGAGGACTGAGGGGGGGTAGGGATGGGGGCGACAGCAATGGCAATGGTGGTGGTCAAAAATCAAGATGAGGGAGAGTGACGACCAGTGATGGTGAAGTTTGCAACGTGTTTTCCTGTCCGATTTGGGTTTCATAAAAGTGTAATGTTAAAAGGCCAAAAATCTAAAACATGTTGATTGCCATGCCATACATGCTTGGCATAGTATACACATCATGTCCCGAATATGCCCTCCCTTCCCAAAATGGTACACACATGCCATCACCGACATGGTCACGGCAAGGTCACATCAGCAATCTCGCAACCCATATAGGGACCATAGACCTATGAATCCTATGCCCTCCTATACCCTATAACATGGTATAGGGCTATAAGGCACATGCATGGTTTCTATACCACCTGTCATAGGGCTATACGCCCTCTATACATGCTATACATAGGATTATGCGGTGGTCCAATCGATTTATGGCTTCAAAAATAGGTGCTGCTCAACTAATGAAAGGATATAAAGGCATCGTTGCATTGGTATAGTCATGAACAATATAAACTAACAGCGCTGTGATATATACAGTCAGATACGACATATCTCGTCGGTTCCATGGGCCTCGTTTTTGCAATTTGAATACTATCTTTGTCACGCCGGTCATAGGTAGTATAACTACCGACAACAGCCTGCAAGCACGAGCGGGTGAGAACACGCTGAAGAAGACTCAGTGACACATCTGCCATTTGCGAGGTGAGGGAATGTACTTGCCTCAATCCGAAAGATCCACGTCCTTGCTCTCATCTTCCTCTTCATCATCTGAATCCTCACCGTTGTCGCCCTTACCACCAGTGCTGAATTCCTGGCAGCGAAGATAAATCTCGTTCCACTTATCCTTGGACAATACGCTCGTGTTTTTGTAGTGTTGTTTGACGACTGTCACCCATGGTTCTTCACCAAAACTATCCAGCGAATTCTTGGACTGTTTGCCTGCGAGAGAGTTGACACCTTTCTTCCACACCTGAAGCGCACGTTTAATCTGCAATCAAGACACTATCACTGTTATGGTCAATAAGAAGGAAAACAAGATGCACTGCTGCTGCTGCAAGAGCCAGAGCCCCAGCCGGAGGACCAAAAGTGGTTGGTGTGGAGATTGTACGATGGATATAGTAGGCCATTGTCTGAATGAGGAGTCGTCCCAGATATGCTCCATGTCCTTCTGCTGCCTACAAGTCCCGAGGACTCAGTTGAGTCAGCTCTCAGTGACGAGATGGTAAAATGAGTACTCACCGTGTTTTCAGGTTTATCATATACAAACCATTTATTCTTTGAAGCATTCCGCACCCACTCTGCTTGCTGTTCAGCTGTTTTGCACCCCTTGAGCTCCGGATGTTTCCAATTCCTAGATATGGCTGCCATGGCCACTTTTCCCAGTTCACTGCGATGTGTTCGGATTTGAATTTGAACCTGCGAGCAGTTAGTCATGAGAACATAAGCCAGGAATACACGTACGACTCCCATGATTGCAGGATGGTCAACTCGAAGCTCCTTCTTTGCTTCATCAAGATGCCTTGGAAGGTGACCGAAGGTATTAGTCCATAACAGAACTACGGTGGGTTTCAAGTCAGAGTGGCTGTTAGCACTGAACTGGTCCTCAAGCGTCGCTGCCCAATCGAGTATCGGAACGATAACATTGGTCTTGAAAAGTTTGATATCAGCGGTGGAAGGAAGGGGAAGATCTTCGAACTTCCATGCAGCCTTTCATGTCTTAACCTTCTCATGCTCCTTCCCATCAATCTCATTCACGTTTGCCAGCTCAAGCTTCACGGTGACCGATTTCTGACAATGCCAGGTCAGATCATGGATAGCGCGTGTTATACGACATACTTTGTTGACTTTGGGACCCTTCCCAGCGGCGACAACGTGATTCTTATTGTTCTGAGTCTTGATTCGGTCCTTTGCTTTTCTCGCTTCCTTGATAGCATCCACGTCCTCGTCATGATCAAACTCACCCACTGGATCAGCCTCTGTCTCGCCTTCTTGAGCTGACAAAGCTAATGATGTCGTGGAAGCCATAGGTGCGCTCTGTTGGTACATCTTTTCCCAATTGGCGACGAGACCTCCAATGCTATCAGACTTGGATCGCTTGGCTGGGCTTCAAGTGGGATATGTCACTGTAAGTATTCTTTGACTTCACAGTCACTCAAAACTCATGCTATTTCATGATCAGTGAGCTGATTGGGTCGCTTTTTTGTGGTGGCTGACCCAGGGATTGTTGACGTTGGTGCAACTGTGTGGAGACTGGTGATAGCTTGTCATACTTCCAACTTGCTGTCCACAGTCTTCACAGCGTAAGAAAAATATCGCAATTAAACACGGAAATATACTTACCTTGATTTTAGGTTGTCGTTTCGCCTTTGGAGCCAATGACGATGCTTAGTTTGGCTGTATAGCGCCAGCCTTGGCTCTCTGGCGTGCAGCCAGAAACTCCTGGTATAGCATGGCCTCATCCTGCTCATCCTCGGAGCCAGTATCGCTGACGACAACTGCGCTATGTTCAACATACTCTCCATCTGACCCGCTGTCATCTATGACCATCTCGGTGCCCATAGGAGGTGATTCATTACCTGAGGTGAAGTCCAAGTCCATCCTTTCATCACTTATCCCCTCAGACTCTGATGTCGCTACCGAAGATATAGGAGGTAACTCATCCGATGAGTCCATACCAACCTCTGACGCTGGAACCTCTGCAAATCCATCAGCAGGTGATAAAATGATAGGCGTTACTGCTCGAGGGGGTATATCGACTGGCTGAGTCCGCTTTCTGGAGGGTTTGGCTGTGCGGGCCTGCAATGATGGGGGTAAGCCGTTTTTTATCATGTCGAGATCAGGACGCAAAGACTGGATTTCCTTATCCTCAAGAGCATTGGCATCCTCCTGTGCAGCAACCTTCTTCTTTGCCTGTTGCTGTTTCTCCTTTTTTGCCTGCTTCTTCTGCATGTTGACCTCTCGCTGACAATCCTTTTCTTCAGCTCGCTTTCGCTGGCCTTCGGAAATCTCTGCATGGGTGCATGGAATCCATTGTGCAGGGACAGCAGCAGCCTTGCCACACGTGGTGATGCGAGAGTCTGAGGACATTGAAAAGTGAGAAGAGGAGTGTCTGTGGCGATGTTCCGAAGAAAAAAAATTGGGTAAGCTCGATCAGGACTCTTCCACCTTTTCCTTACTCATCGTTTATCCCAGAGACACCCTCCTTTTCCAGGATGCCTCGACATCGGTGTCCTTGGATAGGGTGCAATCGAGTCTTCAAGCGTGCAGGAGATTTGACTCGGCATGTCAACTCTCGTCATCGGTCTCATCCAGCCTCAATCAACCACATCTCTCCAATTTCCAGGGACCCCTCAGAGAGCGAGCCTGACATCTCAGATTATCCATACCGTGATGATACCATCTTGGATGACACTGAGCTTCCAACTTCCCACTCTCAATCCCCCCACTCATCCGTACCGACTCCTGCCAGTGAGAAACCATGCAGAACTCTGCATCCATTCCTTACTGGTGAGCCACCAACCTGGTACTGTACTGGCATGAGCATATATTCACATTGACATTTTAGGTGTGAAAACTGATCGAGATGGTCACCCCTTGCCTCCAGACACACCGCCTCCTGCAGATCCACCTATTGCCAACGTCTGGGCACCTTTCAATGGAGAAGTCCAATTCCATCTGGCCGATTTTCTTTTTCGCAAAGTTGAGATGTCACAGTCCGACATCAATGAGCTCCTGGATCTATGGTCTCTGGACATGCACCGGCATGGAGATGATGCACCATTTGATAATCACCAGGCACTCTACAAGGCTATTGATGAGATACGTGTAGGAAGCGCACCATGGAAATGTTTTGAAACAGTGGTCCCGGATACTCTAGGCCGAGATGCACCTGAATGGCAGAGGCGATCCTATCAGATCTGGTTTCGAGACCCAGACACTGTCATCAGCAATATCCTCGCTAATCGTGACTTCGAGAAGGAATTCGACACCACACCGTATGTTGACCTTGATGCGACTGGTCAGCGTAGATGGAGTGATTTCATGTCAGGCAATTATGCCTGGTGCCATGTGGTCTGTCAGAGATTATTTACTGATCTTCTGTATGCTAATTGTCATTCAGGCCCAGATATTCGAAGCAGATAGCAGTACCGAAGGTGCTATGTATGTCAGCGTGATTCTCGGTAGTGACAAGACGACAGTGTCGGTAGCTACGGGAAATGTGGAATATTATCCCGTTTACTTGTCTATCGGCAATCTTCACAATTCCGCACGTCGAGGTCACTGTAACGGTGTTGTACCCATAGCCTTTCTCGCCATCCCTAAATGTAAGCAATCCTTTTCCATAAGAAGACACATTGGCCTGATGGATACATCGGTACTTTCAGCGGATCGAAAATATGACCGGGATGTTGCATTCAGACTTTTTAAGAAGAAGCTGTACCATGAATCACTAACAGCGATTCTTTCATCACTCATTCCTGCAATGACAATGCCAGTGGTACGACAGTGTCCTGATGGTCACTATCGCCGTGTGATCTATGACCTGGGACCATATATCGCCGATTATCCTGAGCAAGTCCTCTTGGCAGGAATTGTCCAAGGCTGGTGTGTGAAGTGAATCTTTCCTATTCATACAATAATCATTCAGAGACTGATGACATTGACAGATGTACCTCACCGGCAGCGAATCTGGATGATCCTGGAGAACGTCGGTCACGAAAACTTACTGAAGTCCTCTTGGAAGCCTTTGCCGATGATGGGGATGTTTTATGGGACAACTATGGCATTGACGAGGATATCTTGGTACGTGACTCTGCTAACATCCATGGAAAAGTATGTTAAAGCCAGATCAGCCATTTACCTTCAACTTTCCCCGTGCGGACATCCATGAGATGATCTCGTCTGACCTCTTGCACCAGATTATCAAGGGTTCATTCAAGGACCATTTAGTTGAATGGGTGCATGAGTATTTAGTCCTCAAAGAGGGTGAGACTCATGCCAATGAGATAATGGATGATATAGACCGGCGGTGAGCTAATTCTTTGATTGGTTGCATATCTACTCACTGTCATAATTTAAAATTGCCGCTATGCCACCTTTTCTGGGGCTTAGGAGATTTCCCCAGGGGCAACGCTTTAAGCAATGGACAGGTGATGACTCCAAGGCTCTTATGAAGGTAATGGCAATCTGTATCATTACATGTTATGCTCATGCTGATGTATTATCTACTAGGTGTACCTGGCTGCTGTCGCTGAGTATCTTCCAGAAGCAATCATGAAGACACTTTCTGCATTCATGGATTTTTGCTATCTAGTTCGGTGCTCTGACTTTGATGAAAGCACTCTAAACCAGGTTAAAGAAACCATCCGGCGCTTTCATCACTTCCGTGAGGCCTTCAAACTCTCGGGTGTGCGTGAGAGCTTCTCTCTTCCTCGGCAACATGCCATCATACATTACCCCAGTCATATTATGGAATTTGGTGCCCCGAATGGACTATGCTCATCTATCACTGAATCACGACATATCACTGCAGTAAAGAAGCCCTGGCGAAGATCCAATCGCTATAATGCACTGAGCCAAATGCTACTGACCAATCAGTGTCTCGACAAACTGGTTGCTCTTCAAACGGATTTGATTCAACATGGTTTAGTTGAGCCATTGCAGGCTCCACCTGCTGATCCATTCGACAATGGAATAGAAGACGAGGGTGCCATGGATGGGGAGAGGACCATTGGAGAGGTCACACTAGCGAAGACACCTGGTATGCTCTTCATTGCTCATGCTGCAAGCTGATACTTACATCAGATTTCTTTAGAGCGTGCATATCCTAGAGATATTGCCGATCTGGGTCAGTATATTGGGTATCCAGACCTTCCAGCACTTACGCAGCTGTTTCTGCATGAGCAATTAACTCAAAGAAGACCGGACAATTTCAATCACATCAGCGACACCAGTTATCCCATTATCAATAGTCCTGTCCATGTTTTTCACTCTGCTACAGCAACATTCTATTCGCCAAGCAATATCTCTGGTATATGGGGTATGCGTCGTGAACGCATATGTGCAACCCCTTCCTGGCATGGTTATCCTCGGTATGACTGCGCACTGGCCATTGTTGATGAGGAAAAATCAGGATTCCGTGGAATGAATGCGGTGCGCATACTGCTATTCTTCTCATTCCGGCACAATGGCAAAGAGTTTCCATGTGCTCTGGTGCACTGGTTTAACACATACGGGCGCCTACCAGATGCAAAGACTGGACTGTGGATTGTCAGGCCTGACTTTCGCGGCACTGCCAGGCACACACCTGTTCTTAGCGTCATTCATGTAGACACTCTCCTTCAAGGTACTCATCTTCTTCCCGTTTTTGGCAGTTGAGCATTGCCACATAAATTCCATCATTCCCATTCGTTGGACTGCTTTCAAGCCTTTTATGTTAACCATTACGCAGACCATCATATGCATGAAATCATTTTTTAAATATTATTTTCCGTTGATTGAATAATATATTTTTCAAGCGTAGTGGTACTCCTTGCATTATCCTGATCATGCCTGACTCAGATATCCCACAAAAGTTCCTCTTTGATGCTCTGGCTATGCCTGGCTGTAAGTTAGCTCCACTTACAAAACAGCACCACTGGCGTACGATGCAAGCTGCAATTCAGAGCCGAAGACAAGGAAAGTTGTACGTACTTCTGCCAAGTCTCTGCGTCGAGCAAAGGGATTGATTTCGTGACTTTGCATTTCAGGGCTCTCAGACCACAGAACTTCCCCAAGAAAAGAGCATTTGACAATCCGAAAATTTACCAATATGTGCCAGCATCACCTGGCAACAGACAGATCGGGGATTCCGAGTTGGATGGGCAGTACAATGGCCTGACCACTTGAGACTTCATGACCCTGGAGATTGATATGTCAAATGGTACCACAGCTATCCTCAATGAGCTCGCAAACTATCGGACAATGTTCAATGCAGGGATTAACTCACTGAAACTGTGATCCGGATTGACGGAGGCTCGAGAGGCACTGGAACAGCTTGAAAAGCTAGCAGATTGGATTGATGATGCTGATTTGAAGCAATGGTCACTAGCGGAACTGGAACACCAGCGGTTGTGGCAAGGTTGGCAGAAGTTTCTTGAGAGAGACTCAGAGGAGGCACAGCCAGACTTGGACTCGGAGCAGGTGTCAGACTACAAAGGAAACAGCACAGAATTGACAGAGTCAAAGTAAACCGAATCTCATGTGATTAGTAAAACAATAGGTGATCATTAACTGATGCATGGAGCTAGTACTACCAGCTGAGGTAAATACAAAATATCAGGGTATAGAGGAGGTATAGAGGTATAGGTGGCATAGAGTCTGAAAATAGCCTATACCTTCTATAGCGTCTATGGTCCCTATAGAAGTGTGAAATTGCTGATGCACACTCACGATGGTGGGAGCTCTTTGCCGAACCTTGCTGAGGTGCTTCCGTGCCGTCCCCTGCCGAGGTCACATCATGTACGGTACCGTACGTATATTATTAGTACAGGCACTTACTAGTACTTTACCTACAACACATAGTATTATGCGGTTCTTCGGCGTTCTAAATGATGTCCAGCCACTTATACTTAGGGTTTGAATTTGATGTGTCCCTCACATTATGTAAGTCTCTGGGCTCGCTTATGAGTCTGGAAATAAAATACATAGAAAAAAAAAGAGAGAAAAAGAAAAGGAAGAGGGAAAAGTTTCAAAGCTACCAGTGTAGTTTAAAGAATGATTTTTGAGCATCGTGAACCGCACTTTGCAAAGGCTGTGCATCTTCGATGTCTGAGGCACAGCTAGCTTGTATATAGCGGAGTCGACCAATACAACAGTCTTACAGTCTTACATCAAGCGGCAGTGCAGTAGTGTATTTAATATGTGGGATGTACTCCGTTTCTGGCTCTCAAAAATTTGATATCAACTCGGTCTGGGAATAGGATATATGAATGGTAGCAACATCACTACTGACCGGGAGCTTGAATTTCAGGCTAAATGTGGTGATTTATCGGCGCTCGCATTCAGCATTGATTGTTGTTGCATCCATCATATAAATCTTACTCGGGGTCAATAGCCAGTGTACATCTAATAGGAGGAAATTTTCTTTTCCTGAGACTGAAAGTGCCCGCCCCATGAAAGCTACCATTTCATGTAAAGAAGGTTATATCTATGAATGCTTGAGACAATAAATTCTTTAAGAGGTAAAATTTCGGGCCCAGGAAGAAGCAGAAAGACAAAGATACTACTCAGTGGTGATAGTAGCGACAGCGACCCACGAGCATGAGTACTAGTGAACCACAAACTATAATCCTGACGCCGCGTTAAGGTAGTCTTCATTGAAAAATGTTCAGTTTTTTTTGCGTCAGAATATAATCCCAAGCGCGACTTTCAGTCACGGTATCTGAGTTAAATATGAATTGCAGGTCTTTGTGGATTCCGGAAAAGATGTTTTTCAGACCTAATTTGGCAGTAGTCAGTAAAGTAGCAGAAGGCAAAAAAAAGAGGGATCTCACTCCAAGATCTTCGGGCGGCCTTCTTGAAGCGATAATTGATATCCCGCAGGTCTCCCTTTGATTCTTTGATGAAAATCTGACTATGAAAATGGCGTGCCCCCCGTTGATATACCGAACCATCTACCGCAGAATATATTGATCTTGCGAACCATATCGGCGTAAAGTTTCGGCCACATTGCACCATGTCAAAAGTAATCTCTGAAAGAATGGTGGTCCATGATCTTCGGAGAGCCAAAGCGACTTCTTCAACATATGGTGGATCATCTACGACGATACTCCAGTCAACAGGCAGCCTGCACAGCTGTGCTTTTGCATGCTCGAGGATTATAGAAACGCGAGTTTGGAAGAGCTGGTGATGATACAAAAAGTGTTGATGCCATCCGATGCGAAACTTGATCTCAAGATTGATTCGCTCGAGGTTAGGAAAGCACCTGCAAAAGCCGATGTAATTGGGCAGGCTGCAGAACGCTGAATACGGTTCCTTCATGGCGTCTTCCGTCGATTTAATGAGATCAACATAACAGGTTATGGTATGGGTAGAATCGGGGAGAGAGGTGGGATAGATTGCAGAATTATCGAGATAGATGATAGAGCTGAGGTAGAGCAGATATGCGATGGTTGGGACGTGGATGTCTCGAGAAGTGATGCGTGCGAAGACATCCTTCCACACGCTGTTGATAAGGGGGCATCCTGTCATGAAGTTAATCCGTTCATCTGAAGGATGCTCAGAGTTCCAAAATTCCAGAATGATATACTCGACGAGCTCGGTAGGAAGCTGGACATTAGAGATGCGCATGGTTCGTAACCAAGAGACGCCCGTCGCAGTCAGTCTAAATAAAATCTGCACGTGATACTACGAAAAGGATAATCAGAAGCCAGATGTGGAAGCCGACCATGCCAAAACCCTGAAGAATTTGCAGTTCGGACCACGATAAACTACTCACAACCAAAGGAGCGCATTTTTCGGTGTTCCCACTCTCAGGTGCATGGCCCCCTTCTGCGCTACAGGTCTCTGCAGGCCACCAGAAGGACACCCATTCAATTTATCACTCTATACGCAAGCCTTTCAATACCCGATCATTATTCCTGCTATGTTAGTAGAAGGTCTTATAGGGGATGGATGGTAGCCGAGTTTTGACAGCTCCCCGAGCCGAATGTCATCGGACTTTCTATGTGTGGTAAATTTGAACAGCGCGCCACACATAAATGTCTGTTAAAGTCAGATTCTCGGTGTGGCAGTTTCTTTGTTTGTCACTTTGTTTACTGTGACTCATGTTACTATCACGCTCTCCATGGAGTTGCTCGGCCAAACTTCCATTCAGCTCTCCAAACAGCGATTCTGAGAGAAAATGCAAGCTGGTGGCGGCATCTGCCGCCACCGAGCGAGGCTTTTTCGAGCAGCACCCTTATTACTGTTAGTTTTTGAAGTCCTGATCATAACTACTTACTAACTGATTCAATTCACCCACAATCACCAATGGCATCGGCTCTGATTCCAACTCTTAGGTTCAATCGTGTATAAGTGATCACAGGTAGTTTTTGGACAATGGATACTTTCATGAGGAGCGAACGTAGCAGGCTTTGCCCCAGAGCGGGCCTTACGGGAGTTATGAATAATGACTAGTGTTGCCGCGGCTCAGCTTATCTCGGCTTAACGCCGAAGTCAGTTTTGAGTCGTTTATTCTGACTGCACCAACATTCAAAATGACAGACATTTTGATGCTCGCATTCACTGAAGAGACTTATTGGTATCATCAGAAATTGTGTTCTTGTTCCTCCTACCCTCCTATCCTCGGCGGCTCAAAATCGACTTCGGCATTAAGCCGAGATAAGCTGAGCCGCGGTAACACTAATAATGACCGGCTAATAGATACGCGCTAGTAAGCGGACATGATCATTGAATTGTCTGTATTGAAGATTGCTCGTGATGACATACCAGTGAGATCATGCTATGGTCAGGCGCTGTGGGGTGACCCTCATGGCGCATATTTAAGGGTGGGGTTAAGAAATTCTGCACTATTCTACACATATATCGCGTCTTTCTCTTCGAAACTTTTACTCGGACTACCAAATGGGAGGCACCTACTACTACTACTACTAAGGCGCGTGGCTTTGTACGCCTTGTCAGTATTCTGTTCTACTTGCCGGAGTGCTTGCTTACCAAACGATCTACTAGTGGCCCATTGCAGTCATCCTGCTTGCCCTCACGGCGTATCGCATCCATTTCACAAAAAACCAGGGAGTAGGCTATCGTACGTCCCTCATGTATGGTCAGTCAATCTCTCCTTAGACAGTCTTCTAGAGCCCATTATCGTGGAACTTCTGGTTTCTTCCATCTTCACTGTGCTCTGGGTACCGCTTGCGTGCGTTTGCATCGTATATGTTTCAATGGGTACAGTTGACTGACGTTTATATGTAGCATGTTCATGATAGTGCTGAGCGTGCTTCGAGCTCTCGAGACAATGCTAGTACAGCTCGAAGGCATCCCAAGCACCTTCCTTTTGAGCTGTTGGGACTGGCCATCCTGTGGCTGTTTTGGCTTGTCGGCGCCGTGTATACAGCCGTAAGTAATACCTAGGTTGTCCCCCCGTCGATGCCAATTTTATTTTTTCTATCTTTTAGAATCTGGTGCGCCTTTGACGGGAAGCAGTGCAATATCATGACGGCGATTCTCGCTTTCGCTTGGATAGGTTGGTCCTTGCTAACGCTCTTGGGTATCCTGGCCCTGATGCATTCTGGATTCGCGTCGGAGGAGAATACTGGTACCAGAGTGGAAAAGGGCAGAGGGGTGGCTTCCGAGACCACAAATACGGGGACCGGGCAGCCAGTCCCTACAGCCAGCAAATGTCTAGTAACCGACGGCCGTTAATCCGTGCTATGCGCGCTCTCATGTATAGTACAACTGATATGTATCTTGTGTAGCTTGTAACTTGTAACTTGTAATGCATCTTCTATGGATTCCGACTTAGCGGTTGTGTACTGATAAAACCCTATCTTATATCCCAGGTTTCTTAGGACCCTGTATGTTAGAACATTTTCACACGAATAGCCATTCTTTTTACGTGGACCGTGGATCGGAGTGGCAACCAAGCCATTGTTCTCAGTTTCAATCGGATATGTATTCCAGAAGGGACTGCGACTCTTTAAGAGCCCGTTCGTTAGCAACCTCAATCTCCACCGAGTCTTCAACCCCTCAACCCCCCAAATGTCACCCACAGAAATTCTAGACCTTTACGACCTCGCCCTCTTGTTCAACTATGAACGCGGGTCCTCTGAACCCCGTTATCGTCATACCAAGCTACGCGAAGTAGTCAGAGACAATGAAAGCTTCCAAACGGTCCGACTCTTGAATACCGCCTGGTCCACTAGACACTCCCCCAAAGTCGCTTTTGCATTCGATACCATCCGTCCCCCAAAAAACAAACTCAACGAACCAGACCTCCCAACCAACATCCTACCCACCCCAATACCCCCTAATCTCGCACACCTCTCCCCAAAAGAGCTGGAAACCATCTACTGGCAAGCTCGTAACCACGACGCTTGCTACAAATCCGTCACGCTCATACAGCATTTCTTCGACTATTACCCTCTCGAAACTAGGGTTTGTATCCGCACTTCCGCGGGTACAAACTACACCACCACCATTTCCAGTCGCGACATCATCGAATTCAAACTCCACAGACCCAAGCTCGCAACCAACGCATGTGTGCTACCCTCCGGGACGGGCCATTTCACCGGAATGGAAGACGTCATGGACCATGCAGTCCTGGGGTTCGGGGACACCATCCTAGATCTCACCTCGATGCAATTCGGCGACGAGGGAAGGGGTCTGGGAGGGAAGAGCGTTTTTGTTTTGGAATCTCAGGAAAAGTACTATGAACGATTGAAGAAGTTCGCGGAATATGCGGACACTGAGAATGCGAAGCATTCGTTTTATATATTTCCTCCTGAAGATCCTGGTGTCAATGAGTGGCTTTTGGATGTTGCAAGGAGAGTGAAAGAGAGATGGGATAGACGTGCGACGGAACATTGGTGTGGTCACTGTGGTGCACCAGCCGAGATGATGAGATGCTCCTTGTGCAAGGACGCGTATTATTGCGATAAAGAACATCAAGCAGCTGCATGGCCGTTCCACAAGAAATTCTGCAGCGGAAAGAAATAATACAGCCGATGTAAGCTTCTCTGGACTTGACGAGCTAGACGCGATGCTTATGAGGAGCTGCAAAATATATAGCGACCTTGTGTGTCGGACAAGACGATAAATACCTGACAAAACTTCATCATAGTCGGTCAAGAGGTCTCAGATATTACACAGAACGGCAACAGCTTGCAGACTAGGGCATGACATCAATGTGACAGTAACCTGTGCCATTAAATAAGAGATATTTACATTCTGTCTACCTTGGAGTAATTCTCCATACCTTACAAACACCATCATCACCCGCTGTAGCTAGCATATCCTCAAAACCAGCTCTGGGACACCAGACGATGGCATTCAGATCGTACACATCGTGTGCACATTCCAGCTTTGCAATCATCCTATGTTCCAGGAGCCCATCACCCGACTTTTCCTATAAGACAAACTATGTGAGCTTCGAACTCGTCAAGGCTTAGAATTTAAATAACTCACATCAATCTCCCAAATGCGTATGACCCCGTCACCACCAGCACTAGCAAGCCATCCCGCTCCCGCTCCCGCTTCCATTCCTTTTCCCCACGATACAGAATACACTGACCTTTCGTGTCCCTCCAAGACCAACACCTGCTTGAACTCAAACTGCCCCGTCCGCTTCCACACCCTCACCGTCTTATCATCCGACCCCGAGGCGAGGTACTGGCCACTCGGAGACCACGCCAACGCCCAGACTGTCGATTTGTGCCCGGTAAGCGTGGTACAGCAGAACCAGTCATCTTCTGGGTCGTCCACGTAGAGCTTGATGGTGTCGTCGTATGATCCAGAGGCGAGAATCTGCATGGGTGAGTGCGTTAGTTATGGGTTGGGGTAGGAACTTGAACGACCTCTTCGGTGGGGTGCCATGCTACGCATTTGACGTCTTGGGAGTGTTCCATTATGACGCCTAGGCATTCGAAGTCTGATTCGGGTTGGACTGGGGATACTTAGGGTTAATGTGGGAATGAGGGTTGAGTTGGGGTGTACGTACCTTCCCAGACCCAGACGGATTTGTCCCGGCTACAGCTCGCTAAGAGCGTCCCTGTAGAGGAGTACCCGATACTTTTGCATTCTGTTTCGTGTCCTTCTAGCAGACTCACGCATTCCCATTCTTCTCCGTCTTCCCGCTCCCATATCCCGACGTTCGAGTCGAACGATGCTGTTGCGAGTGTGTTGCCGGATGGCGCCCAGGCGATGGCGCGGACGGTCTTGGTGTGTCCCGTTGGTATTGATGTGAGGAATGTGAATTTGGTAGCTGTGTAGTCATACAGTCGGACGGTTTTGTCGCTGGAACATGATGCTAGGATTGGTTTGGTGGGGTTCCAGGCGATGTGCCAGGCGCGGTCTTCGTGTCCTGTACTCGTCAAGTCAGCAATAATTTCTAGGATTGAAGGAGAGATGAAAGACCTGGAAGTTCGGCTATCAGAGAGATCTCGTAAGGAAAATCGACCTGCATGTTCGGAGCTACTTTTTCTGGAGATCCGAATTATTGCTGTATTGCGGCGGTTATAGTACAGACGAGATAATTAAGGCCAGTATAGATGAGCGGAAGTCGTGATGGTGGGAGCGGCAAGCAACCAAATCCGGTTTGAAATTTTGTCCTTACCTATAAATGTACTTGATGTCTGTCTATCATCTTCCTCATCATGGCCGACCCGACAGCTCTCAAAAGACGGATCGTGGTCCTCATATCCGGCTCAGGTATTGCCTAGATTTGCATTGGGGGGCAACAGACTAATATTTGGGTAGGGACGAATCTGCAGGCTCTGATTGATGCTCAGAATACCCCTGCGTTACCGGATGTCGAGATATCGCTGGTGTTGTCGAATCGTAAGGCGGCGTATGGCCTGATGAGAGCTGCACAGGCTGATCCACCGATACGGACGGCGTATCTGGCTCTGCAGCCGTATCTCAAGGCCAATCCGGGCAAGACTCGAGACGACTACGACGCTGAGGTCGGGAAGATCGTACTGAAAGAGAATCCTGACCTTGTCGTACTCGCTGGCTGGATGCACGTATTCGGCGATGGGTTCTTGGATTTGGTTTACGGCGTCAAGTCTGTTGAAGGCGAACGACCTGTATCGTCGCCGATCCCGATGATTAATCTTCATCCTGCGCTGCCCGGAGAGTTTGACGGTACGAATGCTATTGAGCGGGCGTACGAGGCATTCAAGAGGGGAGAGATCAATCGTTCTGGTGCTATGGTGCATCGGGTCGTGAAGGATGTCGACCGGGGAGAGCCTTTGGTGGTGAGAGAGGTTGTTTTTGAGAAGGACGAGTCATTGGAAGCGTTCGAGGAGCGTCTGCATAAGGTCGAGTGGGAAATCCTTGTCAAAGCGGCTAAGAACGTGCTGGATGAACTAAATTGTAAGTCTCGTTATTTCACTAATTTTTCTGTACTTGACGGTATCTTCCAGAATCTAACGACGAAAACCGAAAAGCTCTGCAGAAATGTACTACTACGCGTCCATTTTTATGCTGTTGCCTACAATAATGTAGTCGCAGTTTGGATGCCAGAATAATCCACTTCTTTTGCTCTACGAATAGACCATACCTAAATTTTTTCAATTTTCCCCCGGTTCCGGTGGCAGCACAGCTTGCAAACACGAACAAAGAACGCGTCCGTTGAACTTGCCGCCGTGACCCGCCTCCCCACTTCCTTGCCTTATACTTCCACACTCGCCGCGACACCTCGCCTTGGACAGAATGTATACTCCATTACTCCTGCCTTTGTAGTCCCTAACAGTCAGCCACAGAGATCCAATTGTGCCGTCTGCAAGATGTCAGAACGTTCTTCATGCGACACATACTCATTGGGGCGGGGTATGTACAATTGCGCTACCGGCGATTTCTCATTAACTCAATTCAACAGAGCTCAATACATCACCACCCTAGTATCGACTTACCGCCTGCTCTATCGCTTCATGATATTGAAGAATATGACGACACGCCCTTTTCTGTATGTCGGAATCTTTATACCGGCGTGTTCTTACTGTCGACTTGCAGGAATCGTTCTCTGCGAGCGGCTGGATCGACGACACTGCGAGCAGGGTGGATACAAGCTACAACATTGAGGTACGGAAGCCTCCTTCAATAGGATTCTCTCGTTTACAGTGGGCGCAGCGTATCACGGACATCAAAGCAGTCGTACCAGAATGGGACGATGAAGAAGTAGACGTATGGCCCTTCGATTTTCGTCCGCTTCATTGTTCTTTGCTTATAAGCTACAGGAGATCATGGTCATGTCACCCAAAGAATACCACCCCCTTCCTACTATACTGGAGGACGCCGATGAGCCGGGAAATGGGACGGGGGTACGTTCTTCTGGCTATTTACTTCGTGTTCCGTTTTTAAGCATCTCCATCAGGTGTCGTTGACCATAAATGACTTTGAGATCCTCAGCGGGCATCCAAGCAACATCTGCCGGCGCAGAAGTAATGGCAAGGTGTTCGCTCTCAAGCGCGTTACTCGGCAGGCAGCGTCACCGCCTCGGCATACCATGATATTGGAGGCTGTGAACAGGTTATATGCGCCTTTTCTTGTCAAGATGCATTGGTCTTTTGCCGATAATGATTCGTTGTGTATGATTCTCGTATGTCGTTCTTCGTTGACGGTAATGTATGTACTCACTGGCTTCCAGGATAACGGGTATGCAGGTGACCTGCTGACCTTCATCTCCTCACGCAAGCTGTTCGACCCAAATCATGCGCAGTTATATGCATGCGAGCTGGTTAGCTTCTCTTTCTCATCGCCGTTTTTGTTCTCGATCTGACCAAAGATGATTTAGGTTGAAGCGCTAAGCAGCCTCCTTTCTGCTGGCATAATCCATCGAGCGTTAAGGCCTGAAAATGTGGTGATCGACGCTGAGGGCCATATCATGGTGACGGGGTTCGACGATGCGGTAATGCTCGGGGAGGACTCTGATCTTACATCACATTATTGCTGCTATGAGTACAGGGCTCCGGAACTCTTACTGGGGTGGTCATACGATTTTGCGGTGGATTGCTGGGGGTTCGGAGCGTTGTTCTACTTTATCTTGCTTGGACAGGTTCTTTCTTGTTCCTTTTCGCCAATCTTCGCTGAGACATCTATGGCCTTACCTTAGCATGCATTCGGGAGGGAGAGGGATGCCATTCATGCGCCCGTCGTGGTCGATTCGGCTTTGTTTGCGGCACCGACTTGTGATCTTATCCTCAAGGTGGTTCTTTGTCTGTTTCTGTGTGGGGCTGTCTAAACCCTTCTGTCCACAAGTGTCTGGAAAGAAACCCTGCTCTCCGTCTTTCTATTCAGGAGATCAAAATGCATGATTATTTCGGCGACGTGTACGGTACACCTTGTCTCTGTGCCAGCTCATGCTGATAGCGTGTTCTTTTGATGTAGTGACTGGCGTAAGGTCCAAGATAAACAGCTTAGAGGCAAGCGTTTCATCTAGTTTCGCGCTAGTGCTGATGTCATCTCAGTTCCTTTTGTCCCTCCAACTACTAAAATGGTCCAGTCTACTCTTGCGGAGACCTGCTCACCGACTACTAGCACCTCTGTTCACTGTCAGGATTCTCTTTCATCTTGGTCTTCGTCTCGACCAGGCTCAACAATATCTGGTTTCTGCCTTGACGCTAGGAATAGTGTGCAAGATCTGCTTCCGCCTATATTTCGTATCTCTCCTTCGACGGACAAGCTTTTAGACACGAGCACTGTTACATACCAAGATCAAGTTTCTCGACCACAAAGTTCCTATGTCTCGCCTTCCAACACGCCAAGTCCTCAAGAACGCATGGCTCTCTTTTGGCAATCTCTAGACGAAGAATCGAACTCTGGATCGCTTTCTCGGAAACTTCGCCGCCAACGGTCCTTCCCCATCATCAGTTCGCAACGGTTTTCTCTCCTTCCTCCACTTATGTCAGTGCAGAATAAGCTTCGCAAAAAGCGCTCGCAGATGTCAGTCCGAAAGACCTATCAGGAACCGCTGGATCTCCCTGCTGGTATCGAGCAAATCGGTGAAGGGATTGGATTTACGTATACGCTGCCAGCTGCTGCGGTGTCGAAGGCGTCGATATGCTCCACGGCGCCGAAGAGCTGTCATGCTGGGCTTGGTCTGGGTATCGGTGGGTTATTGCGCAGTACGGGAACGAGAATGAGTGAACAAGACGTAGCGGAACGAGGCTCTGGAAGTTTGGAAGTCCCGCTGATGTCGTGGCACTCGCCGATGTCAGACTCTGATGCTGGTTTGCTCACTCCGCCTCCTCCGGAGGAGTTGTTCAAAGAGGTTGGGATTGGGATGAAGAATATGTCGTCTTTCCAGACTTTGCGATTGGTTTCTCCTTCGAATAGTTTTGTTTCTTTGGGTTCGCATCCGTTTTGTCATGATGTGGATGTCTGATTTTTTTTTTGGTTTTTGTTTTGTGAGTTGCTTGTTTGTTGTGTTATTTTATGTTCAAATGAATTTTGTGGGAAAAGTGGCTAAGAGGTTCAACGTTCCGATCTTATGCTTTGTATCATGCTTTCCGACTAATATTGTCTCAACGAATTTTTCGGCTCGAGGTTAGGCACCACAAACTCAGGCAGAAATTAATAACATTCATCTTCTACAAGGTCTAATATACTTTCTTTGTATGAAAAAATACAGTCTCCAACTATTACAACATACGAAAAACATACACCAAGCTTACCGGCAGAGATACTGAGGATCCAAACAAGGCTGCTTGACATTCCTCTCCTCCGCAACCTTCTCAACCATCTCCCTCGTAAGTACAATCATATCCTTCGGACCTTCCTTCTCCCCCTCCTCAAGCCGAAGTCGCCTAACCAGCAACCCCACCTCATTCATAGCAAAAGCCGTATCGTCCACTCGCAGATTAGTCGCCTGAGCAATATCCTGCAGAGTACACTCCAAGGTAATGTCCGTGGTTGCTCCTCCACTGGGGAGCAGTTTCGTCACGAACGTCCGAAGGGATGAGAATAGCTCATCTACAAATAGAGTCAGAGAAGTCGCGAGGTAAGGAAAACGCTATACCATCGACTGAATTGAGCATCCCGTTCGCATGAAGCTCTCCATCCCAGCCTATATGCTTCTTTTTCCGCTTGACCCCAATTCCATCTTCAGACGCCTCTGTAGATGGAGATCGCAGATCTGGGGGATGACCTTTAGTGATAATTTGCGTGGAGCCGATGGGCATCACAGTCAACAGACGTCTGAAAATGTAAATATAATGAGCAGATGCAACGAACGAAGAAATGAACGGCGAACCTGAAAAATCTAACGAGGGTAGCAACCCAGTACGCTAGATAACTTCTCAGGCCCAAGTCGGACAGAGGTCGTTCAGGCGAACCGATCTTGCCATCACGACGAGACAATTCGTAACCTGTAAATAATTAGTGACAGTCACAGAGAACCAAGCTGCACCCACTAAATTCAATCATCAGCATGCCGAAGCCTTTGCGTTGCCAGGGTGGGAAAGTGATGATACACGCCAGGTTATAGTCGTCGAATGAGATTTTTTCCTTGTCTAGGATATGAGAAATAGCACACGGAGCATTCATCCTACTCACCTTGGAAAAGTACCCAATAACATGGTCAGCGCCTGATGTCCCCTCGGT